TGAGGGCTCTGCTAAGAGGCTCGTGCAGCACACCCAGGACCTGACCTCAAGCCCTTTCTTACCTCCAATTATTTCCTAAAACTCAGGGGCAACTACAGTGTCCCATGAGTCCTAAACCCCTACTGGGAAGGGTGTGTGAGCTACCCGGCTTAGGAGTCCTCAGGCTGTGTGTCTTGACCTGAGGATCCCGCAATTTACCTACAGTAGGAACTGGAGAGTTGAGCTTCCCTGGATGCCCTGAGTGGCTGGGGCAAGGGTTGGGTCCACAGCAACTGTTCGATAGATGGGCTTAATTTGGGGGTGTTTTCTTTCATGGAAGTATATGTGTGTTTCTGGATGTTCGTGTCCCTGTGGGCGCGTGCGTCCTGTGGCTAAGGGGAGAGATATAAAAGTGATTTCTGGGTGTGGGGAAGCCCCGATGGTAAACCCTTCTTGTTCAGCACTGCCCATTCTTCATCCCTAGGAGGGAGTGAAGAGAGACTGTAGAACAGAGAACAAAACAAAAACAAAACCAGGACGGACTTGCTCTGAGAACAACTCCAGAAATCCCAGTCAGCCTGCACAGGGTAGGCCTTCGGACCTCTTGTCCAGAGCATCGGGTAGTCGCTACCACTTTCCAGCGGCAGGCGGCAACCCACTCGGCAGGCATACAACCCTGGCTGTGGAGCAGCGAGGCAGGAGTGGACGCTCCAGGCAGATCCAGCTCCAGGTCGGCAGGAGGTCAGCCACGGGCCACAGGCCCAGAAGAGGCTGTGATCCACATGGCCACGCCTCGGAACCGCTCTTGCTCACTTCACAGCTCCAAATCCGCCCGCGTGCGCGTGGCCAAGACTGAGCAGGTCCGACGCCCGCCAAGCCGCGCAGTTGAAACGTACCCAAAGAACTAGCCGAGGCCTGGCCTCAGCCTCAAGCTGGAGGACGCGCTGGGGCTTGCTGGTCTGGCCAGCAACCCAGGATCCGAGCGCCCAACCCGGCGCGCCCATCTTCCCCTGGGCCGCGCCAACCTCGGGCTCCCCCCCCCCCCCCCCCCCCGCCGGGGAGGCTAAGTCGACAGACAGCGGACACATCCAGGTCTAAGTGACCCCAAACGCAGGCCTGCGGTGCAAATCGGGATCCGGGGAGTCTAGGCACCTTCGGTGGGTTGGTGCGGGAGAGGGCGGGAGGGCGGGCGTCCTGCCCCTACTAAGAGCTCCTAGTGGAGAAGGGCAGTGGCAACAGCGCCCAGGTCACCTAAACCGGTGAGAAATAGGCCTGGGGCGGTGTGTGTGTGTGTGTGTGTGTGTGTGTGTGTGTGTGTGTGTGTGTTGCGGTAGCAGGTGTCCCCAGGCAAGCGGGTGTCTGCCTGTATTTCCGTAAACAAAGAAACCGGGCAGTTCATCTTGGGAGCTGGGGGCTGTTAAGAGAATCGCAGACAATCTCCTTCATAAAAATGCGATCTAAGAGCATTTGATTTCCACTTTCACTCCTCCCCTCCCTGCGTCTCCCCCCCCCCCCCCCTCCCCGCCCCTACACACTCACTGTCTCCAAAGACACTCAAATTGCAGCCATATGGGCTAAAGTAATAGGAAGCAGTTACCTTATTTACTGCAGAGGCGGCGCACGCAAACCTGGCAGCAGCGACTGCCTAGAAGTGGGTTTAACAGCACCGGTTCTTGTTCTCTGAAACTTTTTGTTTAGTTCTGGGAGATGTGCACAAGGGAACAGAGATTTTTCTAACTGGAAAGGGGAAAGGCCTTGTGCGGAGGAGAGACGAGGTGTGGAGAATTGAGCCGGTGGGCAGGGGAGGTTTCAATGAAAAAGAAAAGAAAAAAAAAGGTAGGCTGTGGGCAAGCCTTCTCGCATTGGTTCCAAGGATAGAGCTAACAGCTGAGCGGTCCAAATCCGGTTCAGACTTGGTTGGAATGAGGGCATATGCTAGTGCCCCCTCCTGGCACACACTGGCACCTTCCCATTCTGAACTAACCGGCGGACCCCATTCCTTAGTCATCCACTTCTCCCTTTGTTTCTAAACTGCCCGGAGGTGAGGCCACCCAGAGACATGATTTGACACCTCCGCCACCCTGTTCTAGCGCCCGCAGCTGGAAGCTCGTTGGATCCTTGCAAAGGTAACATCCTGTCTCCTCTGAGATGGTCCCACTGAAGGTCCCTACTCTTTTGCCATGGACAGGAACCACGTTTCCTCCGACCTTTGATTATCCCGTTCCTTTCCTCTGCCCCTGAATCCAGCTCCAACTTTGCAATGGGCTCTGCAGGACACCCCCCCCCCCAGGCTTTCAACTCAGACAACAACTCCCAAGCACTAACTTTGTACTGAGCAAGCTGTTGGGGGAACAATTACCATCAAGTTCGGGAAAACTTGCTAAGGAAGCCGAGGCAAGCGCTAACTGCTCCATCAGCCGTAGCAGGAGCCAGAGACTTCCTTTTCTCCCGTCAAACTTCTCAGGTTGATTAGGCAAAGAAGTCAAATTTGGGGAGAGAGAGGAGGAAGAGAGAGGGAAGGAGGGAGAGGAAAAAAACAGAACAGGAGTGAGAGAGAGCTGAAGATTTTTCGGTGAAACTGAAACCAGCCTCCTGAAAACCCCAGGTCTATGAAGGCACTGGACAGCACGCACAATCTGGGGACAGCGTTCTCCTCGAAACCCAAGCTGAAGGGAAACTACCACTTTTCTCTTGGCGGGCAAACTTCCCAGGGTTAGGAAAAAGGCGATGAGGAGAGCTGGTTCCACCCCCGCCCCACCCCGGGCCACTACCCAGGCGCCCCCATCCCCATTCCACGCAGTTCTCCGCCTCCCGCTTCAAGGTGGCCCTGAAACAGGCTTGCAGAGTCGCGGCCCCCCCGCTAGGCTCAGGGTTAGGGTGGCCCGACAGCCAACGCCCGCGGCGGGCAGCGGATTCCAAGTGCGGGCAGGCGGAGCGACTGGAGCGAGCCGGCAGAGGGTTAGGGTGGGCTTTCTCTGGGCGGGGAAACCAGACACTTATAGGCGGCTGAGGCCGACTTTATTTTTACTGCCCAAACTGTTGGAAAGTATTTAAGCTTAAACAGAAACAGCTGTATCGCTGGCACCGGCCGACGAAACTATTTGTTACCGGGAATGACTTTTTGTGATTAAGGACGCGGCCCGTCGGCGGCCTCTTGAAGGCGGCGGGCGTGGGTCACCGGGGCGATCTGGGCGTCGTGGATGAGCTGTTCGTTAAGATAGGACTCCTCACCTGGAACACACCTTGTAACGTCAGGGAGCGAGGTCAAAAACTGGAAACCAGAGGCTGAGGCCAGAGGATCCCTAAGCGAGAGCCCAGCTCTCCCCAAAGCCTGCACCGGGCTCTGCGGTGAGGTGCGCAGCACCTTGGACCTGAGGACAGCTTTGAGCTCTGGGGCTTCCTGCCCTTCCAACCAGACTCCTTGGCTCGTTGGTTTCCCATCTTCATCGTTCTTTCTCTCTCCCTTTCTCCGATCCCTTCCCTGGCCCGGGGAAACTGCTTGCAGCTAAGTTGATAATCGCGATTTAACTAAATTGTGTGTTCCAAGGAGTCGGGCTCTGTGATCCGGGGCCTGGGCGGTGGAAGAGGAGCGTGGGGGTAGCTGCTGCTGAACCTCTAGGCTTCAAGCGGTGGGGTGGGGGTTTACCAAGAGCGGAGGAAGGAGAATTTAGGATGGCAGGTCAGCAAGTGCACACACAGTGTGTGAGGGACCCACTCAGCTCTGCGCGACCCTCACCCCCTACCAGGGACTCGCCATCTTCGTGTGTGTGTGGGGGGGTTCGCCTCTCTTCAAGGCCGCACCAGATACTACTACTCCCCTCAACTTCCGCGCCGACGTTGCTCGTCGAGCGTCCTCCGCGCACGTCGTCGAGAAGAGCCCGAGACAGGAAGTGCTCTAGCTCCGCACCCAGGTCTGGAGCAGGCCCGCGGCGCCCCCAGCCGCTCACCCCACGAGCTAGTCAAACCTCTAGGCTCTGCCTCGATGGTCATCGGCGCACTAAACCCACCCAGGCCTGGACAGACGTGCTCAGGGTTGACTTCTCCCAGGGCCGAGGGAGGGAGGGAGGCGCAGGCTGGAGCAGGGGCAGGGGCAGGGACAGGGGCAGGGGCAGGTGGCTGCGACTTGGGGACAATAGAGGTGGGAAGAGGAGGCACGCGACCCCTCGTGCGGGGCAGGGTCTCGACCCAGGGTGGGCTCAGGTGGTAACCACCGGACTGCACCAGTGTCAGCTTTGGGCTTCTGAGCCCGGGGCAGCGCCCACGCCAGCTCAGCTCGCCGGACCCGGAGGGTGGGCGCGGGCAGCGTTGTGCGGCTGGAGAGACCCAGAGCAGGCACATTGATTTGTTAGCGGGATGGGACTGGCGATGGAGGGAGGGGGCGTTGCCATGGAGACCGAGGGTGTGCGGCCGCCAGGGAAGGGGTCAAGGGAACCAGTGGGTTCGGCGCTAGCGCGCAGGAGGTCCAGGGGTTCGGGCGCCGCCCGTTGCGCCCCAATACCTGTGCATTGTGCCGCGCCAGCGGCGGGGGATGGGGATGGCGCCGGGCAGGGTAGAGTCGGGTGGGGAGGGTCTGGGTCTGCAAAGGGGGCGGTGCCTGGCTGGGACCTAAGCGTGGAGCCCAGAGGGTTCGGCGGGGACACGCCACGCACCGGGGGAACCGCTGGGCGGCGGGGCAGGGGGCGGGGGCCGCAGCCTAGGGCCGCGGCCCCCCGGGCCAGCCGTGCAGACTGACAGCGGCCCGGCCCGCCCCGCCCTCGCGTCACTTCCGCTGACGGCAACCCCCCCCTTCTGGGTCTCTGGAGTGGCCGGAGACTCCGCCTCCTGGCGATTGGAACGCGGGTCACGTAGCAACGCGGGGGAGACGGGGAGAGGGGCGTGGCCGGGCGCTGGTCCAATCAGCGCCCGCAGAACAGGCCTAGGCCGCTTGGCTTTAGCAACGTCGTTAGCAACACGTGGGGCGGGAGGAAGCGCCGGGCGGGGGCGGAGGGAGGGAGAGCGCGCGGGGAGGGAGGAGAACTGACGTCAGCGGGAGAGTATTATGGGCTGTCGAGCGCTGGCTGCTGCTTTTCTGCTCCTGGAAGCGGCCGAGGGGGGAAGCGGCGAGTCAACATGGAGCTCTCGGCGGTGGGGGAGCGGGTGTTCGCGGCCGAAGCCCTCCTGAAGAGGCGCATTCGCAAAGTAGGTGGCGGGGACAGCGGGAGGCGGCGCGGCGGGCCCTCCCTTACCAGGGCCCGGGCTCCCTCCCCCTGCTGCAGCCCAGCCTCCCTTCCCCCAGGTCCCAGCAGTGGCCGCGGCCGTGGCGGCGGCGGCGGCGGCGGCGGCGGCTCAGCCCCTGCGCTCTTCTTAGACTTGCAGCGGTGCACAGATTGCATGGATGGGGGGCGGGGTGGGGGAATGAATGCCGGTGCATGCACTTTGTGCAGCGTTTCTGCAGGGGTGCTGCAGCGGGCTGGTACCCTTGGCGGTAGTGTTTGGAGCATTCATTTGGTGCATGCATTTTTCGCGTGTATTTGTTGTGCCCTCTCCACGCACGCACACATACACATTTCCCCCCTTTGCATCCGCAGGGACGCATGGAATACCTCGTGAAATGGAAGGGCTGGTCGCAGAAGTAAGTAGGTCCTTTGCAATCGCAACCCCACACTGATGTTGAGGAGGGTTCTTTTCTTCCTCTTTCCCCCTTTAATATTGAAATACAACACAAGGCAGCCGGAAAAGTTACACACATGTACACGCCCTCTGCTCCAGGGACTGATGCCAGATTCTTCCTGGTTTCCTATAGGTACAGCACGTGGGAGCCCGAAGAAAATATCCTGGATGCTCGCCTGCTTGCGGCCTTTGAGGAAAGGTACAGACCCTTATCCACTCCCTGGAGCCCAGGCAGGCTGACTTCGGTGCCTCCGGGACACACCCCCTTCTTCTCCTTTCTTTCTTTAGGGAACGGGAGATGGAGCTCTATGGCCCCAAAAAGCGAGGACCCAAGCCCAAAACCTTTCTTCTCAAGGTATGTTGCCATCTCCAGTGGTGGAGTGTGACATTCGAAGGGGGGCCTGGAGGGCTTGGGAGCCGATGGGTGCTCACACCCTGTGCTCATCTGTGAATCTGTGAGTCTTCTGATGGTAACCATGCCAGTGGCAGCACCAAGGAGGTGGGACTTAAGCCACACCAGAAGGCCTTCATTTCTCTCTCCAGCCATCCCAAGTAGACCTATAGTGGCCTACAAGGGGTGTGTCAGTTGCAAATGGCTGCTTCCAGACAAATCCCCTTTCTTCCCCCCCCCCCAGACTACTACCATTAAGCCCACTTCCCCCTACCCAATTAGAATTCCCAGGCATCTGGGGGAAGTTGGGCAGTGACAGCCTGAAGGACTCTTGGGGGGCGGGGCTCTGCCTCCTCCTCCTCCTCACCATCTTCTTTCTGCAGGCCCAGGCCAAGGCAAAGGCCAAAACGTATGAATTCAGAAGTGATTCTGCCAGAGGCATCCGGATCCCTTACCCAGGCCGATCACCCCAGGATTTGGCATCTACTTCCAGGGCCCGAGAGGGCCTTCGGAACACAGGCCTATCCCCACCAGGGAGCAGCACCAGTGCCTGCAGGGCAGACTCTCCTCGGGACCACCGAGATCGGGATCGAGATCGAGAAAGAGGTGCTGGTGGTCGTGTAGATGACAAGCCCAGCTCACCGGGGGACAGTTCCAAGAAGCGAGGACCCAAGCCCCGGAAGGAGCTCCTGGACCCTTCACAGAGGCCCTTGGGAGAGCCCAGTGATGGCCTTGGAGAATACCTCAAAGGCAGGAAGCTGGAAGACACCTCTTCTGGGACAGGAAAATTCCCAGTCGGCCACAGTGTGATCCAGCTTGCTCGAAGGCAGGACTCAGACCTGGTACAATATGGTGTGACTAGTCCTAGCTCAGCAGAGGCCTCGGGCAAGTTGGCCGTGGACACCTTTCCAGCCAGGGTGATAAAGCACAGGGCTGCTTTCCTGGAGGCCAAAGGCCAAGGTACCCTGGATCCTGGTGGCCCCAGGGTCCGACACAGTTCAGGTACCCCAGGCTCAGTGGGGAGCCTCTATCGGGACATGGGGGCTCAAGGGGGAAGGCCCTCCCTCATCGCCAGGATCCCAGTGGCCAGAATCCTGGGGGACCCAGAGGAAGAGTCTTGGAGCCCCTCCCTGACTAACCTGGAGAAGGTGGTTGTCACAGACGTGACCTCAAACTTTTTGACCGTCACCATTAAGGAGAGTAACACGGACCAAGGCTTCTTCAAGGAGAAAAGATGAATTCCTGGGGTGGGGATGGGGAGCCCAGGGCCAGAGCAGGCCTAGAGTGAGCTCAAATGTGGCTTTAGTGCTTTTTTAATTTCTGGGTGGCTGTGGCCTTCTGACTGGTCCTGTCCTTAACTTCACACCTTCTTCCCTGAGTCCCTTTCATTCCCCCTTTCTCAGTTCTGGTTGAAAACTATCTAGAGTTCTATTTTCTATTAGATGTAAATATGTTATTTAAGAAAAATATCTAAATATATATATTTCAACTCTTGAAGTTCTTTTATTTAAACAAGGAGAGAGAGAGATTGTGGTTTGGTAGGGGCAGACAGACTGAGTCGGTACAGGAGGGGACCTGTCCCGCAGGGCACTACGAAAGTTGGGGGCCTGGGCACCGGGATTCTGGAAGGAGAGTGAGGCCTGCCCACTGCCTCCTTCCACGGCCGGGTTCCCAGTGCCAGACTCCTGGCACCCAGGCAGGATTTTTGCTCTCCTTCCCATTGGCCAGCTAGGCCAACAAAAGGTTGGCTTCCCAATCAGAAAAAGGGGGGTGGGGTCAGCCCAGTTTTCTTTTTTCTATTTTCTTGCTTCTTTCCCTCTCTCTTTTTCTTTTTAAAGATTAAGGTGTCTATTAGGGGAAAAACTATTAACTTAAATAACTTTTTTTCGCGCGTGTTGTTGAAGGTAAAAAAAGAAAAAAGTCGGAGTGGGTGGGGCTCAGTTCTCCCATGACCACACAAGGAGATGCACTTTAAGGGGGGTTTGAGTGCCGTACACACGGATTGTGTGTATGTGTCATGTGGACAAAAAATCTCCCCGTCCCCTCGATTCCTTCCCTTTCCAGAGAGAAAAAGAAATCCAGCGAATTTGTTTACATTCCCGAAATGCCAGGATATATTGGGAGGATTGCGTGTCAGTGCCCAGAGCACCAGACAGTTGTTTTACAAGAAAAATCTTCAGGCGGCCTTTTCCTTTGCGAGTTCTCTAGCTTTGTCAGAAGACAGGGCGGCCCACCTCCCAGGAAGACTTGGACAAGCTTGGTGCGTCAGGGGAGGGTGGGCCCTGCTCTCCAAAGGACGAACGGCCGACCGGCGGCCTGGCCACCCCGCGGGCCTGGCAGCGGGCTGCGCACCAGGCTGGTCGGCGTTGGGCGCAGGGGTCGCAGCCTGAGTGGAACTTGGCCAGGTGGGGCTCGGGATGGAAGGGATCAGCTTGGTTCCCATCCAAGAATGTGCATTAGAAGTTTAGTTTCCCCTCACCTTTCCCCTTTCTTAAAAGTAAAAGCTGTAATTTATAGTCCTTCTCGATTCTCGGAGTGTTCGCTAAATGAACTCGACTCGACGTTCAGACACCGCGGAAGGGGGCAGGGGAGCGCGAGGTGGAGGGGGCACGACCGGGGACGACAGTCGCCCCGCGACCCTCTGCGCCCCTGGACCTGGCTCACTCCGGACAGCGCCACGCGCAGCTCGGACTCAAAAGCACAAATCTGTCCCCCAGCCTAGGTCGCCCCTTTCAGCAGGGATCTTTCGGCCTCTCCGCCCTCCCCGCCCTTAAAGGGCCAGCAGGCGATCTAACTTCGAGGGCGTTTGCAGGGAGAGGCATGAGACTCTGCTTGCGGGACAAAGCACAGACTTGGGAGTTAGGGGGCTCTGGGCTGGGTTAGAGAAGCTTGGTCATGGGGAGATGCTGAAAGGGACCCCAGCCTCGGCCTCCGTACTCCAGGTACTCCAGGCTCCTCACTTCCCAGCGCCTCAGTCTCTCTTCCCTCCAGACTTTGCCTTTAAGTAGAGGGAGAAAAAAGGAAGAAAAAAAAAAAACGCGGTGTATTCTATGTGTGTTTGTTTTTGAAAATCAATTTGCGCCTAAAAGAGAAGCCCCTGGACTGGGGATTTTTATCTGCTCATATTTGTAAAAACTGGTGTTTTCGACTTTGTATAAAGAAGCGCCGTTGACTGTGTGTCTGTCTAGAAGTCGACCCTATTTTCTGGTAAGCCTGATTTGGAGGGTATGTCTGTGACCGAGTGACCGTAACTCTGGGACCTGGGACCGGAGTCCCTTACCTGACTGCCGACTTCCTCTCTCTCCTCTCCTTCTTTGCTCGAACCTTCCTTCCCTCCAGCCTTCTTGGTTCTGCCCTCACTGCCCCTCGCCCTGCCATCTGTCCAAGGCCGTTGTGTGTGTCTCCTTAGCTCGCTCTTGAGGGGCTGACCTGGGGGGGTGGGGTGGGCAGGGGTCTGGGGCCACGTGGCTCTGATTCTGCAACCGTGGATGGGCAGAACCCGTGTTTATGAATTCTCAGATGTGTACAAATCTCGAATTGATCGCCACCTCAGTTCAAGAGTGAAACTTCGGTATCCTATCTACATGGGTTGTGAATGTGTCTGTATCCAGTATCGCTTTTTATGTGTTTAAAATATATACTTTGTAAATAGACACGTGTCTTGGTTCTCATTATTTACTTACTTATTTCCCAGAACAGGGTAGAAGTTGCCTGGAGAGGAGGGACACTTGCCTTCTCCCTCACTACCCACTTGGTGTCCCTACCTTCGCCCCCATACTCTAAAGTAGGGTTGGATTCCCCCCCACCCTCGAAAAGGCCCTTTCCCAATTAGGAAACTCAGTGGGAGGGTGAGAGGAGGAGGGTTGGGGAGGGAGTTGAGTCATGACCGGTCTCACCTTTCTCGGGAGGCTGTCTTTGCTACTGGCTGTACTTCTTTGGGACCCAGGCAGAATTTGGGGGACCCCCTGAGATGATATGCGCGACCTCTCGACTCATTTACTCACTCTGGTGGAGGATGCCCCCAGCTCCACATAGGCTTCTGTGCCGGAGGTCCGGAGCACCCGACACCCAGGAGCCTTGCAGACTCGCTTGCCTGTGACCCGAGCGAGCATTGCTCCCGATGCTGTCACAGGGCTCGTGCCCCGGACTCCCACAGCCTCGCCGGCGCTCCCCGAAATGCAGAGCCTCTGTCTATTGATTGAGGAATTGAATTCGCGGGTATTGCTAGGCAACTGCCTGCTTGGAGCTGGCGTAGAGAGCGCTGATGTGATTAGTGAATCCGGAGCCGCCGATCCTCAGCCCCGCGTTGCGCTCCCGCCCCCTAGTCCCTGTTAGACCCTGGTGTTCTTTCGGGTAGATACCCCAAGGTTGGATGAGAGGGGGAACATCGACGGGGGTGCTCGTGGTGGGTGTCCTCCGTCCTCTAGGCTGCAGACTTGGGGGGGCGGGGTCATGAGGCTGCAAACCCGACCCACACTCGGGATTCCTAAAGAGGACAGCACAGGTGAACCCGGTTCTGCTTCCATTAGTCCCTGCCAGAAGTCGCTCCGTTGCCAAGAAGCCACCACAATCCGTCAGGACCCTCAGAGCCCCCAAGGAGAGGCCCGATGTGGGCCGGGTCACATCTTTTGCCCTTGGCCCAGTAAGCAGTGGCTAGGTCTTTGGCAGAGTCCTCTCCACCTGCCCCCTCCAGTTCAGTGACCTGTGTGGGAGGCCCTGGATCGAAGCCTGAGGTCTGAGGTTGCCTCAGCGGGTCACTGAGCCTCGAGCGCCCTTCGGACACTGAACAATCAGCCTGTCCAGTAGGGTCTCAGGCGCCAAGAGGTCCAAGGTCTATTTCTTAGGCCACTTTAAGGTGTGCTGAGCCAGGTAGGCTCTTTGCTGGGTCCACGGGAGGGTGACGGCCATCAGGGGGCCAAGAAGGCAGTGGGGTGCTTGGGCCTAGTGGCTTCAACAGTCAGTCTTACAGTAGGGACCCCCTCTGTCATCACCTGAATGGAGGGAGGAGATCCGCACTGACCCTGCGGGATTTCCCCGCTTCTTTGGTCATCACCAACTTTAACTTGGGCTCAGAGCTGCCTCGGTGAATTTTCTGGGCAGATTCTCCCGGAGAGCAAAGACCAAGTGTGGGGATCCCTGCTCTTCGTTCAGGCGGATCTCCCTACAAACATCCTCATTGGCAGGACCCGTTCGAGCCGCTGCCGAGCCTGGCCCAACACAAACACTGGTTGAATGGAATACTTATGGCTCTGCAAAGAGCCGTTTTTCTTTTCTTTCTTTCTTTTTTTTTTTTTCTTCACGGCTTTCTTCGTTTCCCCAAAAAGTCCTCTAGGTCAGAGGCAGCTCGGATACAGCGGGAGCCCAGAGTGGGAGTCAGTGGCAGCCCTAAGGGTCATTCAAGATGGAAATTTGGCTGACAGCAGTGAGAAGCCGTCCGCCCGGTAGGCTGAGGCCTGGGTTTTCATTCTGCAGCCAGAGACTGTATCGGCTGGGAGCTGCTTGGAGCAACTGAGTTCGGGACAGCTTAGGACTGCGGGTAGATTCGGCCCTCCTCCCCACCAGCATTCAAATTCCCGCGGACCGAACTTGGTGGGAAGCGCGCGCCCTCTACGGGCGACGGCCTCTGTGCCTGTGCCAAGTGCCACCCCTCCCCCCATCTGGTTCCGTGTAGCAGCAAGGAAAAGCCTCATTTCCTCCTACCGTGCATCGCCAGGCATCATCTCTGTCTTTGAGAATCGGCCTCGACCCACGCACGCCACGTAGAGAGGTGTCCGGTGGCTCAGAGCCCTGCTGCACTAATCTTACCAGGCACCCCCGATTTGATCCTAGGGGTGCCTATCCTAAGACTGCCGTAGATTGATTAGGTGATCAAATCACCAGCATAGAAATTAATAAAGATCAATGTAGACCAGCCCCACCTCCCCAAACTCTGATGGGGAGGCCTTGTCCTTGTAGACATAGGTTATCAGAGAGCCTAGCTGGCCAGAGTCAGCACCTCTAAGACAGAAGGTGCTCCTGCACGCGTGCGCACCTTCTCCAAAACGAAACAGGCCCTGGAGGCAACAGAAGGGAAAATAAATTGCCAGGTGCCTGCTTTGCAAGAATCAGGAATCGGGTTTCACACTCGATGGCCTTTCTCCAGCAAGGTTTGTGTTTCTGTCTGTAGTCTGTAGAGAGAACCTTTCTCCCAGCCAGCCCTTCTGCAAGTCCGTTTTCCTCACACTTCAAAGAAAACTCCATTCTCCTGGGAGGCCAGAGGAAATTCTGGATGAATTCACGCTGAGGAGAGTAATGCAAATCTTGGGCTAGGGAAGCTAATGTAATAAGCACATCTTCCCTTTCATTAGTTGGGGGTTAGGAGCCTAGGAGGCCCCCTGGCTCAAAGTTTCCTGCTCTTCCCAGCATCTCCCTATAGCCTCCCAACCAGCCTCCTCAGGAATGGTGCTGAGGGTGCCTGCTTCCTGCACTGGTTGGAGGCCTGCAACATGCCTTTTGCCACTGATGTTATTAGTGGGCAAAAATGTACCTAACCTTTCCCATTAGGCTTTCTCAAACTTAGCTCCTTGGATGTTCTGAGGAGCTGGGTTTTTGTGAGGCACTCCTAGTCTCTAAGCACTAGATGCTGGTGGCACCCTTCATCTTGGGACAACTTTCTCTAGACACAAAACAAGCTTCCTGTCATTCACCACTGGTGTATTTGCTCTTAAAAATATATTCCTTCCTTACCAAGGCATATTTCCTCCCCTCCCACCGCTGAGTGGCTAAGCCATCTCCATTCCCCCAATACTACAGCTATGTTTTTTTCCCTCCAATGCTATGTCCATGTCCAGATGGGCATTTTGACCCATGACAGGGAAAGTAAAGACTGTTTCCTTTATATGCATTACTGTCAATGTACACACCAAGCCAAAAGTTCACAAAAATATTTATTGATACTAAGAGCAGCAAAAAGACAAGAATTTTCCTACATCGTTTACTGTCTTTCCCCGGCAAAATAACATCAGTCTAAAGCCTCTATCATCTAGGCTAGTGTCATTAGAAACTCCTGGAACTGTGAGATGTATCTGGGTATATATGACTGTCAGAGCCCACCCCCTCCACACACACACACACACACACCCCTCCACACACACACACACACACACACACGCACACACACACACCTTCCACACTCACACACACACCCCGACCACCAGTGACTTCCTGTGAGATGTATCTGGGTATATATGACTGTCAGGGCACACCCCCCTCCACACACACACACACACACACCCTCCACACTCACACACACCCCTCCACACACACACACCCCTCCACACACACACACCCCTCCACACACACACACACCCTCCACACTCACACACACCCCTCCACACACACACACACCCCTCCACACACACACACACCCCTCCACACACACACACCCCTCCACACACACACCCACACCCACACCCCCTCCACACTCACACACACACCCTGACCACGAGGGACTTCCTGTGAGATGTATCTGGGTATATATGACTGTTAGGGCACACCCCCCTCCACACACACACCTGGGAACAGGTATTTTCTTGGTAGCTGGGTTGTTCTGCTGCAACACAGATCCTGAGTTTTCCCAGGGCCCCTTGCTCACTCCCTAGGAAAGCAAACAGCTCCCATTTAAAGGGCACACATAACCGGTCTCACTAAGGAAAGCAAGCCACAGACTGACACCGGCTCAAAGTTCAACATTTCCTTCCTGACAAAACCTCAGGACCGGTGCTCTCTAATCAAGGTCAGAATTTGGAGTATACCCAAGAAGGGGTGCTGTTTTTGGTACCAAAGTTTGTTGTTTTCTTAATACTCCCAAGGAAGAAGGCAGACTGGCCACTTTTCCTACTAGGAGCATGCGCAGACAAAAAGCTGCCTAAATCTCTAATAGGAAGACCGAGGGGGAGGAGGGACTGATTGCCAGAGGTTGAAGGCCAGCCTGGGCTAGAAGAGACACTCTCTCGAAAAGACTAAAAACTAATACATCCATTGGCCATAAAAAACAGGGCACAGAACATCTGGGGCAGTTAGGAAGACCATCTTGTCAGATGTGTGACTGATCCTAGCTACACACACACACACACACACACACACACACACACACTCACTCAGGCAGGGCATAGCAGCAAATAAAAAATAAACATACAAAGCAACTACTTTTATTTATTGGTAAACACGAGAACTCAACTCGGAACATGTGGTGTGCCTCTCCAGTGGGATCTCATGTGGGCACGCTACACACATATGCTTTGTAACATGGACCGCTGGGGTCACAGCACCAGGAAAAACACACAAGGCAAAGTGGCCGGGGGGAAGGTTATTTGTAGATTTCAACTTTGGGACTGAAATAACTGGTAACAATAAAAGGCACCAAATGGGGGTTTGCAGACCTGGCAGCAGGGAACAAAGCCAGCCAACCTAGATCCCCAAACATGGTCACTTCTCCAATAGCTCATGGGACCCCCAAAGACATGGAGGTACCTGTAAGGCAGTGTCTGGTACAAAAGAAGCTTCAGACCTTGGGTGAGGCAGCAAAGGACCCTGGCTGAGGACAGGAGGGGAGGCTAATGACCCAGTAGGCAACTCTTCCCCCTAGCTACCTTCTTCTTGGATGGCCCCTTGGTGCTGGACGCAGAGGTTACACATCACGGGCCTCTTTCAGGAGCCATGGATATGGGTCTGTCCCAAAAGGCACAGTGTTGAGGTCGATTTGGTTACACAAAGACCATCTCTTATTTGGTGTGCAGGGTGAGCTTCTGTGCGGCGGGGCGGGCGGCTCTTTGAAAGTGTGGCAGGTCCCAGGCACCACACACAGCCCACTCACTGTCTGGGTTGGTTTAGGAAGGGGACTCTTCCATTCAAGGCAACAGGAATAAAGAGCCCATACCGGCCGGCTGACCAGTCAATGGCAGAAGTAGAAACAAGGGTTTCATACCACCCCCATTTTTTGGCATCACAGACTCTGACCAGATTGTCACGGCCCCAAAGTGATATTCCAGGACAGGGATCCTGATCTTGGCCAGCAATCTGACAAGGTAGTTTTAAGATAGCTACCTGGGATGGGGGACAGGGAGAAGGCATCTAGGAAGGGGCTCAGAATTGGGATCATCTCCTGAGGATGGGGGAGGAATCAGGGTGCTCCTGTCAGGTGGGCGGACAAGCCGTCCCACCACACAAATGGCACAGGGACACTGCTCCTCAGGAAGGAGACACAGGCTCCCAAACATGGGAGAGGATTGTCAGGGAAAATGGTTCTCAAGCACGGCCCACTCAAACAGGCGGCGCTCTTCTCTGCACCAGAATCCACCACAAAGAAAGCTTGCATGACCGTCTAGAGATGCCCAGGCTAGACAGGCAGCAGGGGGGCAGGCCTGCATGAAGCAGCTGCAAGCTGCATTCCTGCACTGGAGCTACTTGGGGGACTGACGCATCCAACCAGTGGGGAAGATTGACAGCCCAGTACTCCAAACTCACGTTCTCTGGGTTTCAGCCCTCGGAACTAGGGCGCACTCTAGTGGGCCTAAGCAGGGGTGCAGGCCTGGATCCAGAACAGCAAAGGGTCACTTCACACTGGGGCTTGGGCCCACTTGCAGGAAGGTGGCAGTAACATCAGACTCCTCTGTTCCCAAACACAGTAGCACGGAGGTACATCTGACTGTGGGGATGAGCCCCTGCCTGGACTCTGGGGCCACAGTTGTGGCCAGAGATGACACAGCACCAGGGACAGACACTCCAAAGAGTTACACGCAGGGTTCTGCAGGGTCCCTAAACCCAACTTCACAATGACTTATCCTTTTATAACGAGGCCACAGCCTCACCTGCCAAGGACAGAACCCCCACGTCACCGCAAAGGCCCTGTCATTGCTGGGCTTGGGAGAAGGTCCAGCCTGGCTGTCCCTCTCCCCAGGGTTGGGGAGGGAGCTGTATCAGATGCCCCTCCCCAGATCCGCCTCACAATAGATGGGCTAATAAGGTAGGGGAGGGTCTCACTAGGCCAAAGAGGGACATGATCTGAAGAGTGCTTGTTCAAGCAGGCAGAGGCCAACCTGATTTCCTGAGGGGGCAGGACAGAGCAGAGCGGAGGCCCAGAGAGGTAGAAATCACCAGAGAAGCCAGTTCCCGACCCCAAGTCTCAAGATAGGGCAGAGCTGGCCCCCAGGTCAGGCATCAAAGCAAAACCAGAGACCGGAAGGCAGGTCAGACTTGGGCAATGGCCTCAGTAATGCCTCAAGTTGAAGAACCCCACGCTGGTGGGGGATTCCTTCACTGTGACAGTGATGAGGTTGGCTGTGACGTCCGTGACAAACACATGCTCTATGAGACTGCGGGTAGGTTTCCAGTCCTGATTGGTCTGGACAGATACCGACAGGTTCTGGCCAGCACTAGGGAGTGAGGCTGCATCCGGGTCCGAGTCCGAACTGCTATTCTCCTCTCCCGTGCTCACCTCAGACAGCGCAGGTGCCTTGCGGCCTTCTCCGGGGACCGTGTGGCCCTCCTGTCCACTGGGGGCAGCAATGCACTTAACACTGTCCCTCTTGACAGAAGGGGTGGGCAGAGCTGTAGCCTTGGAGGCCACTTTTTCGCCTTTGCTGGTGTCTGTGGGTGTGCTGGCCGTGTTGACTCCTGTGGGGCTGCCCCCAGAGCCTTTCCCTGTGGCTGGGTTGGTGGCAGGGACGGCCTTGGTGGCCGTGGTGTGGCGAGCGAGCAGGCCCATACCAGGCACGCCGTTCTTGACGCTCTGTAAGTCCAGGACCTGAAGGCTCAGTTCCTGAGTCGGGGCCAGCTGGGAACCCGGGCCCCCTGAACTGTTGTTCCCTTTCTGCTGCTCTGGTGCTCCGGGGGCCTTCAGGGCCTTGCTTCCTGGAGGGCTCACCCCTAGGTCCCCCTTCTGTGTCCTCACTTTCAGGTCCAGCCCGAGGCTGCACTTGTTGGCGGCCTGGGCCTTGAGCGCCAGGCGGCTGGCAGTCTGAGCCTGACCCTGGCTCACCCGGTTCATGTAGTGTACGATGGAGCTCTGCCAGCTGATGCCACCACGGTTGGGGCCCCCGGCCATGCCTTTCATCAGACTGGCCAGGTTCTCCGGGGTCGCCATGGCACTGGAGCCGCCGCAGATCTCTTTGGTGTGGGCTTTCAGGGCCGCCAAGCCTGCCACGGGAGCACTGAGTGGAGGCGGCAGCTTGCTGGCTGAGGTCCCCAGGTCCTTCCTGGCGGTCTTCAGCACCTTGGCCAGGCTTACGGGTCTCCGCGCCGCCTTCTGTTCCGGGGGCAGGGGCTTGCGTCCCCGTTTCTTGCGGATGGGGTCTTTCAGTTCGGGCTTGGCCACCAGGATCTGGGCTTTCTTCTGAGGCACTGGGTGGGTTTCACGGCCCCGGGGGCCCCTCTTGGAGTCTAGGTCACTGTCATCTTCTTCTTCATCTGAGGAGGAGGATGATGATGATGAGGAGGAGGATGAGGAGGAACTGCTGGATTTGGACTTGGAGGGGGCATCTGGTTCCTGGAAAGACAAAACGGGTGGGACTCAAATCTCAGTCCGAGCAGCACCAGGGTCCTCCAGGCCCCAGCAGCCAGGGAGGAGTGGGCTTGCTCGTCCAAAGAGGTGAAACCTGCTAGGGCGGTGGTATGCACAATTAGAGACAAACAGTTGTGGCATCTCTCATCACGCCACCCCCCGCCGCTATGACCTAATGTGGCCTGAGGATGACCCAGAATCTCCCATGGTACCATGGTAGCTTTATGGAGATGGCACCAATGTCCTTCCAGCTCTGACGGGGGTTGGGGGGCAGGAGGGTAGGGGAGCGGCTGATCCCCACAAACAAACCCTGGGGGGCCCTAGGCTTCCCCAGCCGTGCCCCTCCCCTACTCAGCTTCATCAACCTGCAGAAATCCCTTCTCAGTCAGCAGGACCTCTCCGGCTGATGGAATCTTCCTGCTTGCCGGGAAGACAGTGGTGCCAGGGTAGACCCGCACTTTTGCTTTGGCCACAGGTCTAGGGAGTGACGGCCAGGTAACGAGCAAAGGCTCACGGGAGCCTAAGGACAGAGCCCCCTTACCCCTAACCCCAGAACTGTCAGGGGTGGGGGAGGGCAAAGAGGGAAGACGCCAAGCCCCCCCCCACACCCCCGTGTGCGGAAGGTGACCGGTCTGTCATCACAGCAAGTAGGGCCAGCCAACAGGACACCTTGAGAAAGGCTTCGCATGGCACCCCTGGCTCATCTCAACTCTGTATGGCCCCGGTACCTGGACTCGCTCAGCCTGTCCGTAACTCCTCCGCAAACCCCAGCACGCACTGGCTTCCCTGGTGGGGAGTCTCCAAGGTGGGTGTGCGCTGGGGGCATAGCTACCAAGTCTGCTGCTGCTGCTATCCCGGAGGAGGGCAGAACGCAGGCCGAACTTGGTTAAGACTGGATGGGAGGAGCGTGCACGGGTGCTGCGGCCAGTCAGCTGGTGCCATCCGCCCACAGATGCAGGAAAGAGACCTACCTACCTCAACAGCCCCCTCAAAGAAGAAAACTCTGCCCGGAGCAGCACAAACCAGTAAGGAGCCAAAGGGGAAGGGCACGAAGGCCTGTGGCCACTCACCTTGAGCTTAGAGCGCCGGCTGCAGGAAGACATGACGGTGTGTTTCCTCGGCCTGCCCCTGGGCCTCTTGCCTCTCTTCCGGTTCTGGACCTCCTTCTCATGTTCCCTGGGGACACAGCACCAATCAGCTTTGAGAAGCCCTGCTTGCAAACCCTTCTCTGGCTTCAGCCTCCACCCTCAGCTCCCAAGGGATTCCTGCTGCTACAGTTAGGGCAGCCCTGCAGGGAAAGCTTGGAGAGTTCAGACACCAGCCAGGGGTGCTGGCCCACACTATCTTTGCGGCCAAAATCCATCTCCCTTGCATTTGGCTGAAATGGAGCCAAAATCGGGAGAACAAAGCTGGGGATCTCCCCATTTCCCATAAAGGAGACTTTCTGTAGGCAGAGCCTCCGTGGCGATCCTAGCACTCATACCCCAAAAGCGGCCTTCAGGGCTATATGCTCTAATCTGTTCATCCCCAAAAGACTGCCTTCCAGTATGCACCAAGCACAGGAAACCCTCGTTATGACCTGCTAGCCCAGGGGCCAGGGATGCCAGTGTGGCCTAGGCTCTCCAGGCTTCTTGTAGCCAACTTGCTGATTTATATCACCCTGGTTCCTGCATCCCTCAAACACCTCCAGAATTCTGCTCCTAATGGGAGGAGAGGAAGTTATCAAGCCCCCAGCAGCCCAGTCTCGGAGGCTGCACCCCTGCAAGCCAGGGCTAAAGCTGTGAAGTCAAGAGCACTGAGGTAGCTTCTCACAGAAGCTCGGATTTCAGTTGACCCCACTGCGTATATCTGGAGAGGACTCCTGGTGTCAAAGACGGAAGTCCCCCAACCCCCAGAAATGGCTTGGCAGGCTAAGGGGCATGCTGCTAAACCAGACAACCTGAATTTGGTCAAAGAGACAACAGGGGGCTGGAGAGACATCCCAGCAGTTAAGAGCACTGGCTCCCGGCACTCGCATGACAGTCACAACCATCTGCAACTCCAGGGGATCGGACACCCTCACACAGACACACATGCAGGCAAAACAACACCGATGCACACAGAGTAAAACCAAACAAACTGTTGAAAATGCTTTAAAAAATTGAGAAGTTGGGCTTGTGGCACACGAATGCCTCTCCTCCTCCAAGCAAACACACAATCATAGAATAAAATAGCCAAACACCATCTCCTCGGAGCCTGGAGAGTGACCTCATAAAGAAATGGATTAGACTCCCAGGAAAACCCCGAGGCTAGGACAGCCTTGGTCCCCAAGTCTACACCTCAAGTTCAAGGATGCCATCTTATCGCCTCCCTGACGAACAAGTTACCCACCAGCTCCCGGCGTGCGTGCAAAGGGTGTTTCTGGGTGCAGGGAAGAGGCACGCACCATCCTGAGTTTTTTGTTCCATGCTGAAAAACAAGACTGTTCTGCTTTCCTCTGGCTATTCTGACTCTCATCGGAGCTAACCAAAAGCCAGGCATGCATGCGCTGCCTCTCACTGGATGTCCCCGTCTCAGGATGACGCCTGAGAGACAGGGTCTTGTTCACTGGGCAAGCCGGCTTCTGCCCGCCCCCACCCCTTCTGCAGGTGTGTACGATAACACCCGGCCCAAGCCTCCTGGGCTTAGAGGACCAAGATATGAATTTAATAGAAGGCATGGCGCTGTCATCCATTTCCAAAGGAGCCCCAGCGAGCGCAAGCACTCGCTAACCCTCCCCACCCCTTCTACAAAGTGTCCCATTACAGAGGGAAACGCAGGCCAGGCTCCCAGAGAACAAGCGTGCCAGATTGACCCCAGCTGGGGAGACTTTTGAGCAAGCCATTCATCTGCCTCTATCGACAGGGAGAGCTCCTGCAGTGGGAAGGTGTCTGTAAGCCACCCACATGGCACCGTGTCCCTAGACCTCAAGCCCTGGTAACACACCACCTCCCACCTAAGAGCAGAAGTGTCAACACTACAATTACAAAAGCGGATCCAAGAGAAGCCTTGCGATGTCAGCGGTTACATCACCACACACCTCTCCTCACTGTGGGTTTCAGGCCCCCCTGGGCCCCTCTCCCGCACGGTGGCCCACCCTGTCCATCGCAGGGGCAGAGGCACAAGCCTACTTCTTACGGCAAGCTTGTAACCCCAGTCGCTATTAGTGCTGACTGAATGTTACTCCACAGAAAAGGCCAAGGAGAGAATCTAGAATCTTGTCTGGCTGTCTGGGGGGGGGGGGCTCAAAGCGCTCTGCCCCTGTAGCCACCCAAGGAACAGGCTGCCCATGGGGCCTCACACCACAGCCCCAGGCCACTGTGTCACCAACCAATTCCGCCCACCCGACTCTCCCCTCCTCAAGAGTGCTGTAAATGTTCTCACTTCTTCTGGAAGGCTAGGAGCAGCCTTGGGTCCAAGATGTTCTCTTCTGGCTCCCAGCTGTTGTGTCTGGAAGAGCAAAGAGCAGGGCTTGTGAGCAGCATCCAACTGGGCTGCCGGGGGCAGCTCCCACAGTTCTGCTGGGGGGCGGGGGGTGGGGGGGGTGGGCAAGGGACACTGTGCCGAGGCAGCCCTCCGAGGTCCCAGAAGCCCCTGGAAGTTAGTTAGCACCATGGCCTCAAACCCACAGGCAAACTGCCACCTCAAGCCCCAAGTCCCAGAAGGCCACAAGGGGACTCAAACAGTCTGTGCCTGGGAAGGGAACAAATCCCAACAAAGAGCAAAGCTGCGGAGGGAATCCCCCGAGCCTGGCCCTGAGCCAGGGAGCGAAGGGAAGACAGGTAGGGGAGGGGGAGCTGGGGAAGCAGACAGAACAATGTGGCGGGCACCACGGAGAGCGCGGGCAGAGCGAAGGAGTTTGAGGGGGCACCGGGCAGGATGGGGTCCGGGAAGGAAGCTTGCGGGGCAGCTACCGAAGAAGTCCCTTCTAGGGAACGCCGGGTCCCTTCCCCTCATTAAGAAGAAAGCAAGCGCGCGGGGGGCCGGGGGGCGGAGGGGGGGCGAGAAAGGGGCTCCTACCAGTAGGAAGCTCAGGTTACAGCGGGGTAACTTGGGCAAGGGGAGGGGGCTGCGTCCCGCGCCTGCCACGGCCGGCTCCAGGGCGGGGGCGCATGCAACAAATGGGCGCCAGAAGCGCGCCGGCCGCGCGGAGGGCCGGGCCCAGGGGACGCGGGGCTGGAGGCCTCCCTGCCCGCTCCCCGTGGGCTCGTAAACAAAGGGCATCGCCGGTCGGCCGGCGTCCTCCGGGTCCCGAGCCACAGAACTTCCCGCCCAGACCCAAGAGACCAGGGTCCCCACGCCGTTCCCACCCAGGCCAGGAGGCGCGCGCGGGAAGGCGGCCGCGCACCGGGGGACTCACTTGGAGGACCAGCCGCGCCACTTGACCAGGTACTCCAGCTTGCCCTGCGGGGAGAGAAGAGCGGGCGGTGAGCCGCGCAGAGCGCCGGGTGCGCGCGGGGGAGGGGGGGTGTTCGGGCGGGGACGCACGCACCTTGCGGAGCCGCTTGCTCAGAATGCACTCGGCGGCGAAGACCTGCTCGCCCACGCTGCTCAGCTCCTCCATGCCGCCGCCCGCCGCGGCCCGCGCCCCGCAGACCCCGGCCCCACAGTCGCACACAAAGCGCCGCCCCCGCCGCGCCCCGCCCCGCGCACGCGCGCCGCAGTCGCCCGCGCTGCGCTACCCGGAGCCGTCCGGCCAATAGGCGCGCGGGGCTGGGCGAGCATTGTTCGCAGTGGCGGCGGCGGCGGCGAGGACTGGTCAGTGGGGTTGGTCGCCCTCTGCGCGGCGTGGAGCGGCTGCGTGCTCCGAGGACCGTGGGGTCCGACCGCCCCGAACCGCATGTCCCCGCGGAAAGCCATTGTTTGGGCTGAGGGTGGAGAAACAGGGAGCACGCGGCTCTTCCTGTCCCCGCCAGCAAGGGACGCTGCTTCCCACCAGCCCTCTATAAGTTGCACCCCGATGCTCCAGGGTCAGGGGTGCAAGCAAGAAAAATACAGGGTTGCGGGGGAGCACCGAAAGGCGAGCCTTGCAGCTCTTCTCAAGGCTACAGAAGGAAGAAAATTGAGGTCACTGAAAGACTGAACTCCAGATTCTTAGAGCCGTGAAAATGGGACCCAGTTCGCTCGACTTTTAGTGCGCGCGTGGGGACACCACCAACTGGCTTTCTTAGTTCCGTGTGGAAACCTGGGTGTGATCCTGGATTCTGTCACAGCTCGCTGGGCTCTGCCAGCAAAGTCCTTTGGATCAATTTTCAGTGGTAGAAGTTGGGGTGGCCCCGGGTCCTTTTACTTTCTCGCTCAGGCATAAATTCCATCGGGTAGCCTCCTTTGCAAGTTTTGAAGCAAGTCAAACACATGACGAAGGAGGCATTCTCCTACTTAATAAAGTAGACTCCAATAAAAATCCAATTTCTGGTTTTGCCTCTTCCTTGGACACAGCTGCAAACCCAAAGTCTCCGTTTTGAAGGAGCTTCTCTCCACGTAATGGTGAACTTATTTGCGGAAGAGAATCAGTTCTTGGACCTAAGAATCGAACATCGGGAAAGCACGCTGGGATTGATTCAGGGGTGTTCTTCAGTTTAGTTGGTTAGGTTTTTTTTTAAAACCAGCCAGCTTCACTCAGTGCTTCGGAGAGAGCTTGCAACTGTTTGCAGAGGGGGCAGGGAAAGGGGCATTTTCCTCGAGAGCCCGCAGTGACTGCTCACTTAGGGGCTTCGAGCAGTAGCGGATGAACCAGCATGACGAGAGCCGCTGCTGCTCCCAGCCAGCTCTTTTTGTCTGTGTTCAGATCAGTTGGGCGCTAAATGGTAGAGCAGGCACAAAGGTGTGTTTATTGTAATTCTATAAATAGCTGGATCCATTTCAGCTGCTGTTTTCGCCTCGGGATTCCATGGGAATGTAACACTTGCTGTTAGAATTTTCCCACTTTCCCTTTTTTTTTGAAAGGCGGCACACCGACACATTGCTTTTTTTTTTAAAACAACAACAACAACAAGAAAACCCTTTAAAAAATACAGCTCTCTTTCTCTCTTTTTGGTCTGCTAAGAAATAGCCAAGAGTCTGATATGAACACATTGGGGGGGAAAAAACCTCCTTCCTTCCCTGAAATACGTCTGTCACATACCTCATCTATTTAACTTAGGACACCCAGTTGGGAGAAAGAGTAGTTAAGATAATTAATTTGGAGAAACAAATACAACAGACTTGACTGGGATGAAGCCATTAGATCCATGCAGCCAGGGTACGATTCAGCATTTGTGGCGTTTCTGACTCACAGCTCTGGCATTAGTGGGATAAGTTAGGACTGATTCTTTTCATTCATGTCATAAATGGTCACTCTGTACTTACTACCGATGCCACTAGATGCAGAAATGGGTTGTTAGTGACCATCGGACAAGCCTGGCAAGGTTCTGGGCATGAGGGTCTGCACTGATGTAAGTCTATCGCCTGATGCTGAACGGTTGAATTTGAAATTGTATTTCCTTTTTTTTAAAAAACTTCATTGAAATTCAAATAGTAGCTTGAGGATGGTGGTCACTCACTGGACACCAACAAAGATATGTGTGTTACGGGAATTCTAGCTCTGGAAGTCAGCCCTGGACCATCTGTGCATACTGATAACCTCAGAACGTTTAAAGTGTGTGTAGGAAAGATAATAGAAATCCAGCCACTGGGGGGTATGTTAGGGGAGTGAATGTCTCGGTTAGTGTCACTTGCTGTGCCAATAACAGCGTGGAGCAGTCTTATTTGTTTGTTTGGTTTTGTTTTCCGGTGGTCCTGTAGATTGGACCCAGGGCCTTAAGCGTGCTAGGGCAAGCATTTGACTGCTCATCTACATCTCAACTCCCTTTAGGCATGAGAGGTTGGAATCCTGCTATAGAAGAGTAAGTGTGGGCTGGGGACAAGGCTCAGCACTTAAGAGCACTTGCTGCTCTTGAAGAGGGCCTGAATTCAGTTCCCAGTTCCCATATCCGGCCGCTCACAGATCCAGGGGATCTTATGGCTTCATGTGGCCTCCAAGGGCATCAGGCAAACATGGTACACATACATACATGCTGGCAAACACTCAAATACACAAAAAACTTTAAAATAAAAAGGAAAGTAGAGGCTGGCCGGAAGACCATAGCTTAGTAGTGCTCCGGCAGAGGGATTTGGTCCTGTCCCCAGCACTTACATATGGTGGTTCTCCCTAACTCCATTTCCATAGGATTTGATTCTCTCTTCTGGCTCCCGAGGGCCCCTGCACACATGTGATGCACATAAACTCATGAAGGCACACAGGAATATACACATAACAAAAATTAAATATTTTCAGGTGGGTGAAGTGGCCTTTAATCCTAGCACTTGGGGGGCAGAGGCAGGCGGATCTCTTGAGTTCACAGTCAGTCTGGTGAGTTCCAGGACAGCCAGGGCTCACAGAGAAGCTCTGTCTCAAAAAACCAAGTGACAAACAAACACACACATATTTCATTCCATGCTTGTGGTTTGAGAGCCAGTACTACCGGGACCAGGAAAGACATAAAGTATCAATCCACAGCCAAAAGAGATATCCTGTTCTTGGCGGATAAAACTAGATCACCTTAGATACAATCTTACAAAATAGCTTCCCAGCAACTTATTTTATGTTCAGCTTTGCCACTGTGGTCTAAGAGTCAGGTCTTCCCTGTAAGGGGTCTGCATGAGCTAAACCCAGGATATGTAATGTGACTCAGTATCTGATGTATAATTGCCCCCATCTCTCTCCGGCTTCCCTTTACATTCGAGAAACTAGGGTGTGACTTACAGGCTCACAGGGTCAAGTGGTGTGGTTTCTGTCTATGTAATGGGTAAACATTGTCTACATGCTCCACACAGAGTGTTTACGTGTCAGTCAAAATAGCCACCGTTGGGATGCTTGCCCAAGTTCGCAAGCCTTTAGTCCCTAGGCACACAATGCAAATATTGACAACCATCCCCTACCTCCCCCTGCCCCCCCCTCCACACCTCACTCAACACTCTCCAGGGACAGCTTGCAGCACTTACTGTTTGGGACACTTCTCAGAACCCGTCGTCTGTCTCAGCCTTCAATTTGGAGATGAGAAAAAGAAATCCAAAATTGCTTTTACTCCATGCCCGTGGCCCTCCGTCTTGCCTCCCCTTTTTTCCGCCCAATGGGGACTCGGCACACTCTACTAGTTATGTGTAGCGTGTTCACTGAAGCCGTCCAGGGGGAACAGCCTGTCTCATCTGCCCCTAGCCCATCTCAGTGCTCTTAGAAACCCACCTGCCCAGGTGGGAGACGCTCTAAATCCTGGGGTCAGGGAGAGGTGAAGGCTGGCAGCTGTGGAGGTGGGGAATGGAAGATGGATGGCAGCTCTTTCCAGGAGGTCCCTGTCGCATGAGGGTCTTATCTCAAAGGCCTCGTTTGTTAGCTTTGTCGTTGCAATAGTTCCTGATCCCAGTTCTGTGCTATTATAATAATGTTGGGATAAGCAATTTGTATGTTCGTTTTTTCAAGACAGGGTTTCTCTGTGAAACAGTCCTGGCGGTCCTGAAACTCACTCTGTGGACCAGGCTGTCCTCGAACTCACGGAGCTACGCCTGCCTCTGCTGGGATTGAAGGCGGTGTGCTACCACTGCCCTCAGTACCCTTTTTTTTTTCTTGCTCATACAATGTGGTTGCAGAATGGTGTCAGGGGTGCTGGGTCAAAGGGCTTGTGATTTTTTTCCTGACGGGGTTGGGGGGCTCCTGTCTGTTTCCCGTTTCAGGCGTCACACCAGGCTGGCTTTGGATTCACTCTGTAGCCAAGGATGATCTTGAATTTCAGTTCCTCCCGATCTGCCTGGGGGCCCAGGGCATTTCTGAATGTGATTGCCGCTTTGCTGGTGGGGTGGGCTGACACACGCTAACACATGCTAACCACGGCCTTCCACCCCTCACATCTGCTTTTACCTAAGACCTCTGCCTCAAGGGCAATGGTCAGAGTGAAAGATGATTCGGAGTGCGGCTTTTCAGTGGGAAATGCATTATTTTCACAATCTTATTTTACTTTTAAGCTTTTCAGGGTTATTTATTTCATGTCTATCAAGGGTTGCCTGCTTGTATATGCATGTACCACATGCATCCCTGTAGGTCAGAAGAGGATGTCAGATCCCTGGGACTGGAGTTGCAGATGCTGGTGAGCCACCATGAGGATGCTGGGAAATGAGCCCAGGTCCTCTGCAAAAGCAGCAAGTGCTCTTACTGCTGAGCCTAGCCTGTCTCATTTCAAAAAGTTAATTTACATTTACCAAAGTTCCAAATCTAGGGCTAGAACCTTTACACAAGAACAAATAAGTAGTTTGGGGATTCTTGGTGGTGCTCCAGCGTACAGTCCACAGGCCTGCTAACTGTCCTCACTCTATGCTGGAGGGAGTCTCAAACTTCTGTCTTTCCTTCCTTCCTTTCTTCCTTTAGATAGGATCTCACTGTGTAACTCTGGCTGCTTTAGGAACTTGCTATGTAGGCCAGCCCAGCCTCAAACTCGGAAATCAACCTGCCTCTGCCATCCAAGCACTGAGATTAAATGCATGTGCCACCACACTCGACATCCATTAGGTTTGAGCATGATGGATTTGAGAGTGGGCAGGTGCCATT